GGACCCCCAGGACAAGGGGTGACAGCCACGGCCACCGGGACCCTCAGCACGGCCACCAGGACCCCCAGGACAAGGGGTGACAGCCACGGCCACCGGGGCTCGCTGGCGGTGGGAGGGCTGGAGCAGGAGCTCGGACCCCCTTTCCCGGGGGGCAGCAGCCGAGCTCAGGCTCAGGCTCAGGCTCAGGCTCAGGCTCAGGCTCAGGCTCTGGCTTGGGCTCAGACTCTGCTCGCAGCCGGAGCTCCGGCCTGGCCTCGGCTCTCGCCGTGTCCCCAGCCCCGGGAGAACAGGATTTCAACCTCGGCTGCCCCCGGCGAGAGGAGGGCCGGGACCGTGCGGGCACCGACACCTCCGGGCTCCGGCCGAGCCCTCCCCGAGCCCCCGGCCCCGCACGGCGGCCGGACGGGGCCGCTCCGGGGCCGTAGAGCCCCTTTGTCCGCAGCCTCCGGAGCTCCACGGCCGGGCACTGACCCGTGCCAGGCCCCGCTCCGGCCCGAGGGGCTGACCCGGCGTGTCCCCGAGCCCACCGGACACCCCGAACCTGCCGGACACGCCGAGCCCGCCGGACACAGTCCGCACAGCCCGGGATTTGCATTTAAAGGGAAAGGGAACTTCCTCCAGGCGCTGCCGGACTCCGCTGCCGGACCCCCAGAACCGGCCCCAGCCCCAGCCCCAGCCCCGGGATCAGCATCCCGCGGGGTCGGGGATGGGGCAGGATCGGGATCCAGCCCCCGCTCCGCTCCCCCGCGGCCCCGGGGTCGTTCGTGCCCCCCCTCCATCCCCCCGCGTTTACCCCGCGTTGTCCCCCGGTGTCACCGCAGAGCCGCGATTGCGGGATCCGTCCCTGCAGGAAGGAGCCGGGAAGGAGCCGGGAGGGAGCCGGGAAGGAGCCGGGAAGGGCCTCCAGCCCTGGCGCAGGGACGGGATTAGACAAGTCCCGTCCCCCCCCCCGCCCGCCCCGCGCGCGCAGACGGAGCGCGGCTGCTCGTGTAAATCCCGCCAGGATTTTAATCCGACCTTGGACATTTTGGAGCCAATGGGGGCACCAGGGGCTGGGCACCCCCAGGGCAGGTGGCACTTGGTGGCTGCAGCATCCCCTGGAGGGAGAGCCACAGGTGAATGTTCCACGCTGGGGGTCCTGGAGACCCACCCGACCTTCCCCCGGGCAGGGACATTCCCTCCCAACCTCCCCCACCTCGTCCCCATTGGAAAGGCAGGGACAGAGCGCTGGGAGACAGGGAAGCCGTGTCCCACAGAGGCTGCTGTGGCCTCCCCAAACCCCCCCCCCCCCCCCAAATCTTCACTCTCCCCCATTCCCCACCCCGGTGGTACTGAAGGAGAGACAACAGAGGCAGCAGCAGAGAGGTTGGGAGCGTTTCTATTGGATACAGGATACACACAACAGCCCCCACAGGGGTTTTCTGTACCATAACGGGGAAAAGAAATAAAAACAGGGAGGGGGAGTTGGTGAATTTCTAAGGGGTTTTTCCTTTTACTGAAGGAGCAGGAAGAGATGCCCAGATCCTGATCCCGGCAGCAGCCCCTCCTCAGCCTGGCTGCTGGGAACAGGGTGGTCCCACCAGGCCAGACCTACATTCACTTGCTCGGGGGCTCCTGCCAGACCCTTCCAGAGGCAAATACTGGAAGGCAAAGCCATGCTCAGCTCCAGGGAATGTGTCCCAGTGGATGTTCAACCGCAGCTCTGTGCAGACTCGTTGGAGCCCATCCCTGCTGCAGACAGACCCTTCCCTGGGCCTGGGCTCGTTGGGGTCCCTGCAGAGGAAAGGGGGACAAGGAGGCAGGTCCTTCGTGGAGAGAAGATGCGAGAGCAGCTGCGTTGCCAGAAGAGAATCCAAAGCTGTTCCACTGAACACATCCACGGTGGGGAATGTCTCCAGCCAGCTGGCTCCAGCTTCCAGCAGAAGGAAGGCAATGCTGGGAATCAAGTCTGTCACAGAGAAGCTGCAGCGAAGGAGGGTTGAAGCACGTCAAGTCTTCCAAAAGAACACTGGAAAGAGAAAGTCTTGAGAAACTAAGGAGAAATCCCAAAACCCGGTGCCAGCAGGTCCCACGTCTGTCCCTGAACACCCTCCCAGCACAGCCGGGTCCTTGAGGTGAGCGGGGTGAGGCAGCACTGGGGAGATGCTCTTCCAAGAAGGCAGAGAGGGAAGGGAAAAGGAGGGTCTGGGATAGCACAGGTACCCCCAGGCTGGAGGGCCCACGGTCCTGGAGCTGGTCCCGGCGATCCTGGAGCAGACACAGGGTTTATCCTCCTGGAGCCCCAGCTCCGTGGGTGCCCCCAGGGATGGGGCAGAGGAGCTTGGGGGGCCCCGTCCCCCTGCACAACGATGACACACTTGTGCAAAACACTTGGGAATTAGACCTTTGGATTAACTGTTTAATACACTTGTGCACATGTGCGTTCAGCAAAGAGGCAACTGTGAATCGTAAGGCGATTGAGACATTGGCAGGTCCTGGGAAGAGTGAAAGTCCCGCAGGACAGGACCGGGAACGCCCTTCCTGCTTCTCCTCTTGCCCCTTCCACACACAGAACAGAGCAGGGGAACGGCCTCTTGCACCCCCAGCTCACACAGGAGCAAGTCCAGGAGCTCCCTCCTGCCTGGAGGAGAGGGAAGCGGGAGAATCCAGCGCCGTGGTTCTCCCAGCTCTGTTCCTTGGCTTTCACTCGGTGCCAGAGTCGCTGTGACAGCAGAGGCGGAGCCGGCGCATTCCATGGGACACAGATCCAGGGACCTGCCCTCCTGAGCTGCGCCAGATTTTGGGGATCGCAGCCCCTGCCAATGACAAGGTCTTTTAGTGAGAGGGACGATCAGTTGAGGCTCCATATATTAGTTATTGACACACGCAGGGAAGGCGGGTCAGTCTGCTTTTCCATGGGTATCCATATATAAAGTGTACGTTGCCCTGCACATTTTTATATATCATTATATATATATATATAAAATTTAAAAAAAAAAAACAAACAAACTAAAAGCTAGGAAATCTCACATCCCCAGGAGGGCTGTCCTGTCCTTTTCCACCTGTCCCAGGAGTGGGAGAGGGGCATCAGGTGGAGTCTGCACATCCAGGTCCCCCTCCCTGTGCCCACCCCTGTGCCCTGCAGGGGCTCAGTCAGTGCCCCGAGGTCCCTCCTCAGTCCCACTCTGCCCTGTGGCTCCTGGGCTCAGCTCTCCCAGGCTCTCCGCAGGATCCGGGCTGTGCGTGGCCTTTCCCGAGCTGGGACAGTCGGAGCTGTCCCGGGATGGGTCCTTCAGAGGCTCTGCCAGGTCCGTGTGGGCACACAGGTCCTGCACCTTCTTGTTGAGGTCGTTGCGCTCCGTCTGCAGGGCCCGGCACAGCTTCTCCAGCCGCTGGATCTTCACCTGCAGCCCCTCCAACTCCTTGTCCCGGAGGGTTTTCTGCAGGGAGAGGCAGAAAGGGAGGGATGAAACCCCAGAGGGATATGGGCAGACAGTGACAGGATGGGGGGGATGGTTTTAAACTGCCAGAGGGCAGGGATAGGTGGGATAGGGGGGAGAAATCCTTCCCTGGGAGGGTGGGGAGGCTCTGGCACAGGTTGCCCAGAGAAGCTGTGGCTGCCCCATCCCTGGAAGTGTCCAAGGCCAGGTTGGAGCAACCTGGGCTAGTGGGAGGTGTCCCTGCCCATGGAACTGGATGATCTGTAACACTCCTCCCAACCCAAACCATTCCATGACTGATTTTAGGGAAGCTTGAGGGGAAAATATTTGTGACCAAGCAAACACTCAGCATTCAAAGCACCTGAAGCTGCATCAAGGCTTTCTTTCTGCCCTTGCCCCCTCAGACCTCACTATCCTGCATTAAGGCAGGAGTTCTCCTGCCCCCCCTCACCTCCAGCCCACCCCCAGGGCCTCCTCACCTCCTCTGCCATCTCCAGGAGAGCCTTGTTGCTGCTCTCCCAGCGGGAGCGGTACATGGTGGTCTCCTTCTCCAGCTTCTTGATCTTCTTGGTCATCTACAGGATCACAAAAAAGGGCACAAATGGAATCACAGAATATCCTGAGTTGGAAGGGACCCATCAAAGTTCAACTCCTGGCCCTGCCCAAGACAAATAAGCTCCAAATAAGCCCCAGGCAGAGCACTGCAGTGACATCCCACATGTCCTCAGGTGCCACCCCCTCCCCTGGCACAGACCCAAAATTAAACAGAATGATGAAGCTGTCACCCTTGCAGCTCACATGGAAGAGAGCCATGACAGCAGAAGTGTCACCCACCTTCTCCATCTCCTGTTTAAACGTTGTGAACACTTCACTGCTTTTGGAAAGGGTGTTCTGGAATTCCTCAAACTTCTCTGTGTAGAGAGCCAGCTGTGGGGAGAGACAGGGAGCTCACCAGGGCACCCACTGACAGCCTCACCCGGGCAGGGATGAGGCCAACCAGGGACTGAGCTGCTTGTCCTGGGACACAAACAAACTGTCAGCACAGAGCTGCTCTGCCAAGGGAAAATTCTGTCCTAGGGAAACACCCTCAGAGTTGGTGTGTCCTATAAACATCCCCTGGCCAGGGCAGGAGGCACTTGCTGGGGCTGATTCAGTGAGGGATGATCCCATGACTGCTCCCAGCACTAAAAAAAAACAAGGCACCTTTTTCCCAGAAGGCAGAACTGCTGAAGGAAGTCTCAGCTCACCAATACCAAAGCCCAGGAGAGATCCTCCCCCTGTGTTTTCCAGATTAAGGAACTTTGGGTTGTTCCTTGCTTAGGAAGGAAGACAAGGAAGCCAAACAAAACAGGCTGAGCAGACAGAGAAGGTGACTCACCTGCTGCTTGAGGTGGGTCTCCTGCTGCTTCATCAGCTCACACATCCTCTGTGATTCCACAGCTTCCTTCAGCAGCTGGGGAAAAGCAAAAGCAGTTACCTGGGAATGCTCTGAGCACATCCCTGCACGGCTGGTGCAGGGCCTGGAGATGGGAGCGGGCTGGGAGGAGCACAAGGAGCAGAGCAGGGCTCCAGCCCGGCTCCTGAAGCTGCTCAGGAAGCAAGGCAAGATGTGGGATAACCTGCTCTGGGCTCTGCACTCAGGGATCCAGCAGTAACAAGGGTCACAACCACCCCAGAACTGCTCCATGACTTACAAAGTCCTTCTCCCGCTGGTGCCTCTCCTCTGCCTCCTTCAGCATTTCCTGGGCCTGCTGGAGTTTGGCATCCACCAGCTGCTGCTGCAGCTCCTTGTGCTTGAACACCTTGTCAATGTGCTGCCAAGGGAACACCACAGGCTCAGAAGACCCCAGACAAACAGATATTCTTAGTGCAGGTTATTTGTAAGCAGTGTCTAATTAATGTATGTTAAGGGCACGAATGAACCTTAATGTTCTACACAGAGTAAAAATGTCTAGTTTGCATTAAATGAATTGAGGTAACTCTCAACAGCATAAGTAAACAACCTAAAAAAATACCATGTAACTTTTACTGGTATAAAATGCACATAGCTGGGTGTTTGTATGTGCATTTAGATACACTGGATATAGACACATTTAAATATATTGGATATTTTGGATATACTGGATATTTTCCTCTGCTAAAGCAGTGAGTGTGTCGTGCACTTTTCCCCCCCAGCTGAATCTTTATCATTTGAGTGTTGCCTTTGAAAACCTGTGTTCCATTTTGCTACCCTTACACAAGCAACACTCATTTGCCGTGCAAAACACGGCCTTGATGTTCTGTGGCAGTAAAAAAACCTGGCTTGATGAGAGCATGTTACTGGGCTGTGGTTACCAGGAATGTGATGATGGGAGAATCTGCTGGGTTTATTTCCCCTCTGGAAGCAGGAACCCCCTTCCCTTGGGCAGGGGGATACCCCTGTCCTGACCCACCTCCTCCCTCAGCTCGTACTGCTCGATGAGCTTCTTGAGCCTCTCTGCCAGCTCCATGTTCTCCTGGCGCAGCTTGGAATTCCTCTCGTTGTGCTGCTCCATCTGGAGCTGGATGTCGTTCAGCGTCACCTGGAAGTGGGATGTCACCTCCTTCCTCTTCTCCTCCTCCTCCCGTGCTCGCTGGACGCCCTCCTCCTGCGTGAGGAGGGCAGGGATGGGAGGGACACGTCACCAAAGGGATGCTCCGAGCCCACCCAGCCTCCCACTATTCCTTACATCCACCAGGAAGGGACTCTGGGCCTTTCCCTTCCCTTTCTGCAGTGGCTACACCTCGAAATCACAGAATCACAGAATCAGCTGGGTTGGAAGGGACCTCTGAGATCATCAAGTCCAACCCCTGATCCAACCCGGCTGTGGTTCCCAGCCCATGGCACTGAAGCCACATCCAGTCCCACCTTAAAAACCTCCAGGGATGGAGAATCCACCCCTTCCCTGGGCAGCCCATTCCAATGGCTGAGCACCCTCTCTGCAAAGAAATTCTTTCTAATATCTGACCTAAACCTCCCCTGGCACAGCTGAAGACTGAGCCCTCTTGTCTTGCTGAGAGTTGCCTGGGAAAAGAGACCAACTCCCCCCTGGCTCCCCCCTCCTGTCAGGGAGTTGCAGAGAGTGAGGAGGTCTCCCCTGAGCCTCCTCTTCTCCAGGTTGAACAGCCCCAGCTCCCTCAGCCTCTCCTCATAGGACTTGTGCTTGAAATAACACTCGGACAATGCAGACAACGAGGGCTTAACACCAAAGTTAAAGCCCTGCCCTGAGGGCAGACTGTGGGCAACCACTGGTTTGCCAAAATGGAGAGTGATCCAAGTGGTTGGGATGGAGCAGCCCTGGGAGCAGAGCCGGGAGACACCTGCCTTGAGGGTGCGGTTGTGCCTCTGGAGCTCCCGGCACAGGCTCTCCAGTTTGCTCCGGGCCAGGATGGCCTTGCTGTGCTCGCTCTGCAGGTGATCCTTCTCCTGCACCAGCTGTGTCTGCTTCTTCTGCAGGATCTTCATCTGCTTCTGGGAGTTACGGTGCTCTTCCAGCTGGGAAAGGGGAGCAGAGGGCATGGATGCAGCAGGGCAGGGCAGGGCAGGGCAGTGTGTTGTGCCCGCTGAGGGACACGGGGAGCAGAGACTGTGCTCCAACAAGAGCAGCTTTGTGACACTAAAGGTGACACTTCTGAGCAGAGCAGGAGTGACACAGAGCCCAAGGGTCCCTGGACAGGGCTTTTGTCCTTCCTAAATTCCCGTTCTGCTGGAATCTGAAAGACCTGCACACTGCCCCAGCACCTCCATGCACATGTTGCTCCAACGGAGCACAGGGAAAACCCACCCACGGACACTTTGGACATGCACAGGCAGCCCCACACCTCCCCTGCTCCAGATCCATGCAGGGAACTAGACCTGTGCCCAGAACTAACTCTGGTTAAACGTGGTGTCAGGCTTTGTGTGTGAAAACACACCTGAGCTCCTCTTACACCCAGATTTGCCAAAATTCCTCCTGTCCAAGCTCACGCTTCACAAACACCACCAGGCTGAACCCAGCAACACCCACCCCCTCCTATCCAGGTAGCCAGCACTGCAGAGATCCCAGGGCACTGCAAAGCTCCAGGGTGTTCCTGGAATGTCCCTCCTGCCTCCCTGAGCTGCTGTGTCACCCCCAGCCCCAGAGGGACTCACCAGCTCAGCATATTTCTTGCACAGAGCTGCCAGTTTCTCCTCTGACGTGCTCAGGGTGTTCAGTGTCTGCATCAGCAAAGTGATTTCCTTGCCTGGAATGAGACAGGGCATGGAAATAAATAAACAAACTGGATACAATGGCTTACACAGAGCTCTGGCTCGTGAGAGTGAAGAGAGGAGGGAACTGAGCAGGTCTCACAGCCCTGGGCCAGAGCTGCTGTTCCTGGGGTCTTCTCAGGGCTCTGCCCCATGGATTTCACCACATACAGTGGGAAAATAAGTGGAGCAGCTGGGGAGAGACCTGGTTTTCAGAGCAGGAATCACCACTGGGCTGACTGGAGCCAGCTGTGTCCAGGAAAAGAGAAATCCATGGAACTGAGAGGCTGTGGCAGCCCCAGGAGCAGCCAGTGCCTTTGCTGCCCTGGGTACATCCCTCACCCCCCCCAGAACAGGACACTGTGCCATTCCCAAACACGTCCAAAGGCACAGATTTGATCAGAGCAGGATAAACCCAAAGGCTGCAGCACACCCAGGGCAGGGAACCTCTTACCTAAACCCTTGGCTTTCTTCTTCTCCTGAGCCTTCTTCTGGTCTCTGTCCCCGCCCTCCTCGGTGCCCTTGGAGTTCTCCTTCTCCCCGTTCATCTCGGGGCCTCCTGGCTCCTGCTCCCCGTTCCGGGGGGACTCGGGGCGGCCCTTGTCGGGCTCCTCGGGCTCGGGGGGCTCCCCGTGCCCACCGTCCTCTGCCGGGCCCTCCTGGCTGGCATCCACACAGTAGGTGCTCAGGATGTCCTCCAGCTGCCGGCTCAGCTCCTCGGACACATCCCGGGAGGACTTGGAGTCCTCCTGAGTGAGGGGAGCTGGGGGGGGACACACAAACACAAAGCATGAGGGTCCCCCCCCCTCCACACACAGGGAAAGGGGAGGTTTTCCTGGTTGGACTTGCAGCAGGATAAGCTGCTTTGTCTCCAGCCAGCTGCCCTGACAATGGCAGGGCATTCCCAACAGCCTCTCCTTTGATCACCAGAGCATGACCAAGCCCCTGACATCTGTCAAGAGCAAAAATTCCACCCCCAGCCCCCCACTCAACCACAAGCAGGTTGTCTGTGAGCTTTTTCCTCACCCCCTCCCCAAGAGGAACTGGCAGCTCAGATCCCCCAGGGCTGGGCTTTTTAGCATGACAATGGGTTTTAAACCTGGGTGAGCCTCTGTCCTCATTGGAAGAGCAGCTGTACTGGGATCCAACATCCCTCATCCCACCCAGCAGACACTCAGGCATGGAGCAGGCAGCACATCCTGCCTCCAAACTTTTTCCAAGAGCAGTTGGTTATTAAAATAACTCTCCTCACTGTGTGTTTCCCCCATCCCCAGGCACGGGAGCACCAGGTAGGGTTAATTTTAACCAAGCTCCTACTCCATTACACCTGGATTTTGTATCCCAGAGAACAGTTTTGATAAGTAACAGGAAAGAGCTGCCTGGCATTTTCCAAATGGGACCCTTAAGGTCAAAGCAACAACAAACAACCCTTTGCTTCCAGGTAAAACTGACTCCATGATTCTGCCAGGAAATGGGAACTCCTCCAGGACTGTACACAGAAATGAGGAAAAAACCCAGGAATTTCTGCCCTGGAAAACACAGCTGCTCACATACAAAGAGTTGGATGCAGAGAAAGCAGCAACCTGAATCCTTCTGGGCTCAAACCCACCCTCACACATGCCAGGGAATGCCAGCAGTGCCACCCTCCCATTCCCCAGGGACCCTCCCCACCTTCTGGAGGTGCTGCAGCCTCGGGTGAGTCTCCCTCCTCCAGCCCCATCCCGCTGCTCGTTTTGGAAGCACCAGAGGGACGTGGGGCTCCTTTGGTCTCCACCCCCTGGTTCTTCATCACAGCCTTTCGGCCCTGTCAGACTCTGCAGAAACAAACAGCGACTTTAGGAACGTTTGGAGGGTTTGGGGAGCCATCCACCTGGACTGGGAAGGAGCAGGAGCTCCCACCACAGCTCTGTGCTGAGGAAAGCAGGGCCTGGTTCCCAGTTTGTACCTCTTGGATTTCAGAGCTGACAGAGAAACCCCCTCGCTGGGGTGGGGACACAGAAACCAGAGCATCCCCAGCAGAGAGGTCAATTCCTGCTGAGCCCAAAACCCCAGGCAAGGAGAACCCAAAATCCCAGCTCTTCATCCCCATCCCCTCTCCCTCTGCAGGGCTTGGATGTTCTCACCCTTCTCACC